CAACAGCAACTAGGCACATGTGGCTAATAATGTGAAATGTTAGTCTGAATTAAGATGAGCTGTAAAGGGAAAATGCAAACCAGATTTCAAAGATGTATAAAAACAAATGTAAAAGGTCTCATTGATAGTTTTTTATATTTATTACATGGTAAAATGACACTATTTTGAATATCTGGATTAAATAAAATACATTATTAAAGTTAATTTCACCTGGCTATATTTTTTTAAATGTTACTAGGAAATTTTAAATTTCATATGTAGCTCAATTTTGTGGCTAATATGTCTTTCTATTAGACAGCCCTGATCTGAGATGGTCCACTAAACTAGCATATAATGCTTATAAATAATTTTAATATTCATGTGACTTTACAAAAGCTTGTCTAATGAAGTATGTGTTTACACTCCAGAAAACTTGATACAATGTTCTGTAGGGGGTTCATTTTTAAAGAAATAACCCTCTGTAACCCGTTACTGGGTGTGTTACAGTGTTTTTGTCGTTGCTTATGCAAAATAACTGACATGCATTTAATTTTTATGATTATACCCAATTTAATATCTTAAATGTCATACTGATGGAAAGTTTATTTAGGATTTAAAACCACAGGTATAATTAAAATGTGCCAAAGTCATCTTATTGAAAAGTTGGGTGTCAATCAATGACATTTTGTCAGTGGGATAAAATATTAAAGGGAAGATGGAGGTAGAATCTGAAAAAAAATGACTGATATTGTGCCTGCTAGCTATATTGTTAAATTTTGATTTTTCATGATTAAATATTATAATAGAAAGAAACATTTATATTGCCATTTATATTTGCTTTACTGAATGGGCAGCATTCTACTCGTGATGCTGATTAGGTTGAATTCTTTTGAATAGCATTACTTTAAAAAAATCATGGGAAAAAGGATGCTGCATATGAATGTGAATATGTAGGGTAGAGCTAATTGTGTGTTAAGTCTAATTTTAAACCATTTAATGCTAGCACATTGGTTAAATTTGCAAGGCACCATTCCAGGGTTTGTAATGTTTAAAAAAATCTGGCCCAGGTTGTATTTTAACTTATTTCACATCTCCTATGACCGTCATTATTATTCATCAGATGATAATTAACATCCATGGCTGGAGGCCATTTTGGATTTTATTAAAACTCTTCTTTTTCTAGTACAGAGTTTCCTTTATCCCATATTAATTTATTTCCCATTCACTGTGGCAAAGCTCCTAAAATGAATATATTCATAAATTCTTATAATAACATCCTGATTATTTAAAAATGACTAAAATGCTGTGTCTTTTCCCCAGATCACTTGCTTTTGTCAGTTGGTTTACTCTCATCCATTGTGGAATATTTCACTCTCAGCCAAAAGGAAAAAGAAGGTCACATCAGAGCAGCACTGGATACAGGACAAACATGACAGCCATCTCTGTCCACCTGGTTAATGGTTTACAGCTCAATTATTCCTTGTCCTTCTATAGACACCGGTCCCCACCCTTTGTTATCGTCATGTTAGTTTTTATGTATTTTCCTCATAAATCTCCATGAGGTCAGGGAAATTTATCTTAGTTTTGTTTTTTCATTTAACTCTAAAGTTAAGTTCTCCTTTAAACAAGACAACAGCCATGACAAAAAAAGAAAGAAAGAAAGAAGAAATCAAAGAGGAGCTTTTTCCTCTGACTGGGTTGTAAGGGCCTCTCCTGCCTCACCCTCTCTTACTATACCCTGTAAGCTCTGAAGGAAGTGAAAGTTGAAAAGCTATTTTATTCAATATTTATCAGCTTTGCTCAAAACGTTTTTAAAAGATGCTGCTCTACCCCACTGGCTTGCACCAAACCAACTATGCAAAACTAGAGGCCACAGTGAGGGCAAGATTAGGAGAGTAAGCTCCCAGCAACGACTTCCTAAACAAGGTACAACTGGCCCAACCATTTACGTCCCTCCTAAGGCACAGTCTGTCTGAAGTCGTAGCTCTGGTTATTCATTTTTTTCCTAGTCTATCTGATAAATTCCCTGAGGTCATGGATATTGCCCATACATAATAAATGGCAATATCTGAAGATTAAATGGAATATCTTACCCATTTTTGCATGCTCCCAGTAGCTATAGGCTTGCCCGGAAGGAATTCAATAAACACACTGAGTGCTATAACATGCACCTACTCTGAGAATGGGAATTATTTCCAAGGTAAACTCTTCTTAGGTTTCTCTTTCCTAGTAGCAAGTAGAATTAATTGAATTGGCAGTTACAGTGAAATAAATGCTCAGAAATGTTCAGATGTGAATTCATATGGCGGCTTTGCTTGTTTGGTGTTTTAAGAGTACAGTTCGAGTCTATCTTTAGTTAATGGCTCATTAGGGATTTATTTGCAAATAACTAAAATATTCATATGTATCACCTGTTTGGTATATCATAGTCAGGGAGACCAAAATGTTGTTACCTCCTAAACCAACTTTTAAAATTTAATAGTATTACCCAGTGAACTGAGAGAATCTGTTCATGGTGCCAATATTCACCCTCTCTCCTCTTTTGATTTTTGCCTCTGGTATTCATTCACAAGTAACAGTAGTTGCCGTTTATTCAGACCCTCGTATGTGCTGGATGCTTTACCCATTTTTATTTAATTTTTCATAACCTTATAAGTTAAAGATTATAATCCCCATTTTTCACATTCAGATAATAATTAATGCATGTAATTGTCGTAACCTCATAAAGTATACTAGTCAAGGTTCTTCAGAGAAACAGAGACAACTAGGGAGGAAGAGAGACTTATTTTAAGGAATTGACTCACATGATTGTGGAGGCCGGCAAGTCCAAAATCTGCAGGGTGAGCCGGCAGGCTGGAGGTCCAGGGAAGAGTTGCAGTTTAAGTCCAAGGGGACTATGTTTGGCAGAATTCCTTTTCTCTCAGGGAAAGACAGTTTTTTCTTTTTCCATTAGGGTCTTTAACCGATTGGATGAGCTCAACCACATTATGGAAGACAGTCTGTTTCAAAGTCTACTGACTTAAATATTAATCTCACCTTTAAAAAATATCTTCACGTATACACCTAGGCTATGTTTGACCAAATACCTGAGTACCGTGGCCCAGCCAAATTGACACATGAAATTAACCATCATACAAGGTAAATATTATGAGTCCATGTTACTGTAGGGGAACAAAACTTACCACCCCAAAGTATATTTTTGGTATGCAGATTTTTTCAAACCGGAAACAATCAAGGCCCAGAACACTCAGGAAGAAACTTTAACCTCCCCCCTAATTACCTAAAAATTTTAGCTAGAGAAACTACTCCAGGGATAGCACTATCACCAACGAGATCCACAGAAAACACGGGCTCAGTGTGGTCGACAAATAGAGCCTGGAGACCCCAGAGTCCTCTCTGTGTCCCATTGACTCTGCATGGCCCAGCAAACATTAATTTTCCAAACATTTGCTTCCCCACCTTCATATGATTTGCCTTCCTCCCTTGAAGTCTCAAACCACTACCCTGGAACATTCTTTTGCCTTGAAACTGAAGACAATATTTAAAGTTAGGGTTTCCACCATTTCGGTGAGTTACTGTTTTCCTGGGTGTCTCCCATGTACACAAGTGGCTGAACTTTGGTTTGATTTTCTCCTGTTAATCTGTCTCCTGTCAACTTAGTTCTTAGACCAGCCAGAAGAACCTAGAAGGGTAGAGGAAAATTTATTCCTTTCTGATATTACAGATGAATGCAGTAAGTTTCACAGATGTTAAGTAATTTGCACAACATCAGACAGTTTGTTATGGCTCACTGGACTTTATAAAGGGGGCTTTTGTTTCCCAAAGTCCATATATTTTTCACTACATATACTGTCTGTCAAATTAATACTTTTTTCAATTAAGTAGAAATACATTCTTCCAGAGCCAAACTCTCATTGAGACACATTTAGTGACTGTAGCTGTATATTTTAGAGGTCTAATTCCTCCACCAATAAATATTTTTCCAAGGATGATGATCTAACCTAATGAAGTGGGTGTCTGTCATGAGAAACAGCTCTCTACAACCAAACAGGCAGTGAGAAAAACTAGGGAATCCTCCTGTCCTTTATAATCTCTGAAAAATCCGTGCATTCTATTTCTGATTCCAACACTTGAATTCAGGACCCTACTACTTCTTTCCTAAAAGGCATATTACAGCATTTCATATCTAGTCTTCACTTTATATTCTGAAATTCTGCATTTAATCAGACCACCACCACCACCATCACCACCAGGACCTTCTCCCCCACATTTTTAGTACTTCTCAATTAATCCACTGAAAAGAGCTGAAATTTTGAGGTGAGGCATCAAAAATCTTTTCCAGACAAGCTTCAACTATCTTTCCAGCCACCGTTTCAGCCCTTCACTATGAAGAATACACTCAAGTTAAACCTGTCTGTGAGAAGGTTCTTGAGCTCAGATATAATTTGATTTTTTTTGGCTATGTATGCCTTTGTATTGACCTTTCTGCAAATGAACTTATCTTCTGACTCCATCTCTTGCCCTTCAGGCTTCTCAAAAGTTTTCTCATCACCCCAGCCAGTAGCAACTCTTCTTCCTCAAACTGTTCAACGGTGCATTTAGTTTTCAGTTTTAGATACTGGTTGATCTCATCTGTTCAGAGGGTGCTGAAATCAGCTCCCCAAAAGGGATCACAAGGCCAAATGCAATTGGTTCCCCATTACCTGAGGATGCCGTGTGTCCTGCACAAGGGGTCTGCCAAAGTAGGTGCTCAATAAATGCGTAACACATTAACTGACGAATCAACCAGAGAAGACTACAGCTTGTGGGACAAAGGCGAACTTGACTCTCAGTGAACGGTAACTTTCAGCCCTCTCCCACTTTCCTCTCCCTGGCCCAGGGTCACCGTCCACTAGGCCACAGGACTCTAGCAAGGGACTGGCACTGCGCATGCCCGGTAACCACAAGCACCCCTCCCCGGGCGCGGAGCCCGCTCGGCCCCGCCCCTCCCGCTGCCCGTGCGCGCGCGCGCGGCCCCGCGGAGCGTGCCCTGCGTGCGGGTGCCCGCTGAGCCCGCCGGGCGCTGGATCCCCGAGTGCCCAGGCTGGGGCCTGAGGAGCGGGCACCGGGCCGGGGCAGCGAGTGGCGAGCGGCGCAAGCGGCGGCGGCGCCGGAGGGGACGAGGACCGCGGGCGGTGAGTGAGGGCGCCGCGGGAGAGCGTGCGGGCGCCTCCGCGCGTGCGCAGCGTCGGACCTCTGGGCCAGGGGCGCGCTCCCGGACTCGGGCCGGAGGGGCCGAGCGCGTCTGGGTCGGGACGGGCCGCCGATCGGTGTCTGACCGGGGGACGTGGGGGGGCAGGCATCACCCGCCCGGGCTCGAGAGGCGCTGGCCGGGCGGGTGGGCTTCCCGAGGGGCTCCAGGCGGGACAGTGCGGGGCCCGAGCTGGGGTCCTGGCGCCCCGGCCGGGGGTGCAGGGCCAGCTGCAGCCGTGGACCCCGGGGAGGGCGAGGCGAGCCCCCCGGAATACCTGCGGGCCGTACGGGCACCGGCCGAGTGCGCGACCTCCGGGGTGGCCAAGGTCCAGGACGGGGGCGCGGCCGGGGAGCCTCGGCGCCGAGCAGGTGGTGGGGGCCGCGCCCCTCGCCCGGTGAGGCGCTTGGTTGGAAACCGGAGCAAACTTCCCCCAAGTAACTTTACTGAGGCGCTGCCTGCGGGGTCTGGAGACAGGACCCGTACTGGGGGCTCCGGGAACCGACACCCCGGCCTTGCCTGGCCCTGGTCGCCCCAGGACCCCCGCGAATGATAAGTGGGCTTCTGTCGGTTCACTTTCCTTCTGGTCCTGGAGCTCATCCTCCAAGTTCTGAGCGGCATTCCTGGCCCATTCACTCTTAAAATAGATGTGTAAGTTTGGTGTTTTGGTAAGAAGGATGTTTGCTCTCTTGGGAAGAAAAGGCTTATACTGCCCTGTCTTTTTATTTCAAAGAAAGTATTGTTAGGGCTTGCTGGGGATTCCTATTTATCAAGAAACCTATTGTCCTGTGTGTGCTTGGACAAAGCCAGCTAATTTCTATTATTAGTCATAAAAAGACAAAGGGAGATAATTGTGTCCTTTCTAGTTTCTTTTCTTTCTTTCTTACTTTTTTTGGGTTTAAATCCACCTCGTCACATTGCCAAATCTTGGAATGCTGTAGTTCTCAAAATTGGCTGCACGTAACAATCACTGGAGAGTTTTAAAACTCTATACTCAAAATTTCACCTCAGATCAATTAAAACACAATTATTTTAAAGTACCCTCGGCGATTGCAACGTTCAGCAGAGTTGGGAACCACTGGTTTAATCTAAGAAAGTCAAGCTTTTCTTTTTGCGAAGTAGCATTAAGTTTGTAACTGATGAGATGAAACTAGCTTCGTATTTCGTCGGTAGGAACTCACAAAGAGTGGTTTGTTCCCCACCCACCCCCCTCCCCGGGGAGGGAGGGAAGCGTCTCTAATAGTTCAAACTTTAACTGAACTATATAATCCAACTCTAGCGTCCAGAACGTTGTTCTAACTAGTATTTTGAATTTCTGTTGGATGTATTGAATTTCTTAGTAGTAAGCCCACCTTCCCTGACTCCTGCAGCAGCCAGGGAGTTTGATCTTTTAACCCACTCTAGCCTCCCTCTCCTCGCCCTCTCCCAGCTGCCCTCTTTTAACCCTACCCCCAGCCTATGGGAGGATCCCCCTCCCTCAGAAATGTACTAAATCTGAGGGGTTACTGCGGGTTCCCATAGCAACGGGTCTTCCCGGGGAAGTGGGCGGGTCTACCTTTGGATTTCTGAATAGGACTCTTCCTTTTCTAAAGATTTTAAATCACTCTTTTCAGTTCTTGGCTTCAGCTCAGGTAAGGGTGAGCTCATGCAATTCCACTTTTTCTTTATAAGTAATTGCTTAATTATTTATTAATGCAGTTGTATGGGTGATAATGCTAGCAGCCATACTGTTCTCCCCTGAATATTTGTTCTTTACCAATCTTTGCACCGAGAACTTGTCTAACAAAGTCCCAAAAGAGGTGGAAACAACTTTAATTTTTTTTTCCTTTGGGGCACATGAATCTAAGAATTGTGCGCATCATTTTTCTAAAGTCCGAAGACATATTTAAGAAATTTAAAAAATGAAATATAATCCTATATCCATACAAAAACCCTATGGCAATTTGTGGCCAAAAAATGACACTGTCAGTTTGTAAGTTTTTTCATTCCTAGAAAGTGCTTTGCCATGATTCTTTACAAAAAGTTAAACCACTTGTAATGTTATACTTTAAAATAACAAAGGGAAGGCAGTTTGTCTACAGACTCCCCCGCCCACTCCTTTTCTTCCCCAACACACACACATCCAAAGATAATTTTTTTTTAATGTTCATTCTTTTATGCTCCAAACAGGTACTCTGTAGCCATCTAATTCCAGATTACCTTGCAAAGAGCTCTTAAAACTGTTCCAAACAAAATAGTACATATAGACATATTTATGTGTCTCCAGGCTTTTTGTTTTTTGAAACCTTTTAACCTTTATTGAGTAAATAATAGTCAGAATTCAGTCAGTCCAGAATGCTTATAGTAAGTAGTACAGTGATTCCCAGCATGTATTGGGAATTGAAGAGGTTCTGTCTATCTACTCTTGTGTTATGTACTAGTTAAATTTCAGAACCTGGACTATCCAAGCAAATTCTGTAAGGCTAATTTCCCCCATTTCATCGAGAAAAGAATAATAATAGAAAATCCTTTCATTAGATGGACCTTATAGTTCAACAGTAATGCTGTGAGCGAAGACAGTAACCTTTCACCTAATCTTTTACCACATGTTTAAAAATTGAGACCTTCTAAGTAACTGCAGTTTAAAATTACTATTGTTTCTATGGTTTTTAACATTTTAAAATAAAAAGGAGTTATCTAGGTTGTAGACATTTTGAGAATTATCCCCCCCAAAATTAAAAAAATTAAAATCACAGTGATGTCATACAGAAATAAGTAACTGTTCGTGGGATAATGTGCTTCCATTTGTTTTTTATTTGTCTGCAGAGATATACTTTTAAGCAAAATTGGCATTTTAATTTCATTTGTAGTTTTAAATATTGCCCTTCACATAATGTATCACAGACATTTCCTATGCTCTTAAATCTTCTTTGAAAATAAGATTCTTAATGATGGATATGCCAAAGTTTATTTAACTGATTTTCTCTTGTTTAACGTATTTCCATGTTTAGTGTTTGGGAATACGATATTAAACTCTGGTTGCACATCCTAGCTTGGGCACTTCTAATCTAAGTGACCTTAAGTACCTAATTATTTGATTGTGTTTCCTTTATCCATAGAATGAGGGTAATAATTGTGCCTGCAACATAGAGTCTTGGAGTGATGGAGTGAACCAAGTAAAGAAAGGTCTTCATCAGAGTCTGCGAGAGGGGATAGGCTCAGAAAGTCATAGTAGACACACAGGCAGAGCTGGGGTAAATGCCCTTGTCTGAAAGTCTCACTCTCTGACTTGCTCAGGCCAGATTTATAGCACAATTCCTGGGGCAGAGGTGAACTCTTTTATGACTCTTGAGGCGTGTTGCCAGATTGCTTATGCCAAGGCACATTGATTCCCTTACATGCTGAATGGTCTTCCCATAGTGTCACACTCCAGTGTTTAATCTTTCCTAATTTTCTGTTAACATGTGCTCTTATTTTAATGTCTATTTCTAACTAGTGAAATTAGCAATTTGCTTTTTGTTTATGTTTTGAGAGTTGTCCATTCAGGTACTTTGCCAATTTATTCTTAATCGATGATTTTCAAAGATGACTTAAAATATCTGTCTAATATAAAGAGTACTATGCATTTACCATGTTTGTAGCAATTTTTTTCTCCACAGCTCATTATTTGTCTTTTTTATTTTACTTTATGGCAATTTCCAAACAAATTTCCAAACAACAAGATTTTTTCACTTTTATGTAGTCAGCTGTTTCTTGTCCTTTATGACTTATCCTTGTAATTATTTATGTTTGGAAAGGCCAGAGGTGAGATAAATGAAACAAAAATTTTGGAAAAGCTATTACATTTTTACATTTAATTGTATCTTAGTGTGTGGATATGAATTGCCTTCAGCACCTCTTCCTCCTGAGCTAGCCAGTTCTTTGTTAAATAGTCCATCCTCTCCTCATTGGGTTGTGGTCTTTCTTTCTTTTGTTATATTTAAAGATCTTGACTAGCTTTTGAGTCTGATTGTGTTTTAAGACTTAGGCATCTATCATTGATCTCTAACCTTAATCAGTGCTAAATCTTTTTAACTGTACATTTAGAATACATAGAAATATCTGGTGGAGCAAGTCACACTATTCTTTAAAAGGCCATTATTCAGCTGTCCTTTCAGATAAAGATTATCATCTTATTATCTTTCTCTTTAAACTAACACATGCACATAAACTGTAAAATAAGTTATCCCCTATGCTCACTGCACAACCGCCAGTCCCCTTGATCTCCCTTCTGCTTGGCAGCCTTTTGATTGTTAAGGGTTTCTTCTGAGTTTTTCACTGGGGCCATGTGTAAGGTCTTTTCCTCTTGGGCTGTCAGAGAATGGTCTTCCTCTGGTACCCAGGGCGGAGGAAAGGGTGTGGCCACTGGTGTTCAGGAGGCATCGGGCTGGAGTCTTAGCATCTCCTTTATATGGAGGTGCTTTGGCAAAGGTTCTGGTGTTCTCACAATCCAAAGACTTAACCTTTATCTACTCTCCTAAGAATCGATTTCCAGTCTTGCTGGACTCGGGGACTGTGGGCTAGGGCTCCACAGTGAGGAGGTGGGAGGGGCATCCAGGGAGGTAGGGCTTTTCAGACAGCCTGTGCCAACCTTATTTCAGCCCGTCGCCCTTTCCCCTCCAGTTTTGGAGCACACTGGTGTGCTGCTCAGCTTTCCCCTCTGGTAGCATAGTGCTTCACTCTTAGGTCTGCTAAGTTGGTGCTTGTCCCATCTGCTTCATGATTTTGTTGTAATTTCCACTACAGTTCTTTAAATCCTTGGGTCTGTATCTTCTGGAAGGATCTCTTTACTGCCATTTTTGTGGAGTTTAGAGAGAGGATGTGCTTGAATGTTTTGTTAAACTTCCCATCTTAACCTGGAAGACTGCAGATGAATGCTTAAAACTAAGAAGTATCCAGTTATTTTGGTCCTTTGGCAGGGACTGTCATGTACATGTAGTGTAGTCAGTGTTTCTGTTAAGACACATGAAAAGTTATGCAGACCTTCTGCCTCTTAGCAGAGATGTGTTTGTCTGTTTAATCTTTATGTAGGTCCTAATATTTCTTATTAGGGTTCTTCTCAGGTAGTTTTGTTTTTGTTGCTGTCCTGATGGAGTCCTCAAAGTGGCTATTGTTGGCATAAGATGGTTGTTGACTTACGTATCTTTATTTCATAGCTGGGTCTTATTCTAAGGGCTTTGCAGTTTATATAATCAGTGTGTACAATGACGCTTGTGACTCTTTCTTTCTAATAATTATGCCTCGTATTTTGGTTTTATGGCAGGCTGCACTAGTGTTAGCATTCTGGAACACTATAAAATAGCTCTGAAACATTACCAAATAGTAATGGCAATAAGGTGCTAACTAATGTTGTTCTTTAATAGGAAAAACAGTAGTACAGTATTGGCTTTTGGTTTATCATAATTCCTCATAAGGACAAAGATAATCTATCCTTTTGTTTCCAATTTACCTAGAGGTATTTTTATTTTTTCTAAGGGATAGGAATTGAGTATTAGCGAATTACTGTTAGCAGGTACAGCTTATTATTGGTATTTTTTAGTAAATCTGGTGACTTGAGTCCCAAGTACTAAAGTGGAGTAAATCCTTCCTTTTGAATAATTCTTTAGAAAAATAAATTCAATTCATGACAAAATTGAAAGATAACATCATATTCAGTGCATATTCACATCTTCTCAGGTGGGGTACGGTGACCAGGACTTTTTCAAAAGAAAATTATAAATTGCTAAATCCAACAATTAGTCCTCATTTTTATCTGTTGGCAGCATTTGGTACAGTTGATCATTCCCTCTTTTTTAATTTGACTTTTTTCATTTGATTTTGAGGACAGCACAGTCTCCTGCTTTTCCTACTGACTTTTCAGTCATTTTTAAAAGGTGCCTCAGTTTTAACAGGGCTAAAGTAGAATTTCTCATCTTCCTCTCTAAACCTGCTCTCCCTGTACCCTGCACCACTTTGGTGGGGGTAGCTCCATTTTTTCAGGTTATTCAATCCAAAAAGCTTGGAATCACCCTGACTCTTCTCTTTCTCTTGCACTTTACATTCAGGCTGTCAGCAGATCCTGCTCCTTTATCTTCAAAATGCATCCTGAGTCATACAGATGTCTTCCAGATAAACCCAGGAGCTCGGCCCTTTTCCCGCCTCTGCGAGTGAGCACCTTCGTCCTAGTCTCCAGCACCTGTTGCCTGCATGGTTGCTGTGGCCTCTCCTTTCTCCTTCCCTGTGATGTTATCAGCATAACAGCCCAGAGTGATCTTTTTGAAACATAGGTCTGATATGCTTAAAATCCTCCAGTGGCTTTTCATGTTGCTCAGAGTAAAAGTCAGATTCCTCATAATGATTCAGAGGCCCAACACAGTCCGGTTACCAGGAACCCTGACCTCCTCCCAACTCCTTTCCCCCTCGTGCTCTTCATTCCAGCCATCCTCACCTCCTTGCTGATCCCAGAGCACCCCAGGCATGTTCTCCCACTTCTAGGTCTTTGTACTGGGTTTTCCCTGTGCCTGTAATATTTTCTCCCCAGATATATTCGTGGCCAACTCCCTCACCTCCTTCAAGTCTTCACTAAACGAGCACCTTGTCAGTGATGTCTACTCTCTTTACAATCACAAATCTTGCCCTGAATCTTTCTTCTAAATTACTATGTGACTTACTTATTTACTTGTTTGTTTATTTTTGGTGATTTGTCTCTTTCCCCATCCCTGCTAGACAATGTGGGCAACTATTTTATATCTGTTCTTGAATGTGTCCCAAGTGTCTGGAACATAGAAGATGGTCAGTAAGTGTTTTTTGAATGAATGAATATAGTCTGCCTTCTCTCTTTTTTTTTTTTTCCCCAATGAATGTCTCATAAAGCAGTGTAGTCCTTTGGCATCTATGGATCCAGCATTGATGATTTAGCATCTCACCAGCAAGAGAGAAGTTGCAGGACATGTATAATTTATAATGGGTATTATAATACAGAGAGTGGTTATGAGGATTCAGTAGGAAACTGTAAAGTGCTGAGCTGTGCCACTGTGTAGGAACAGGTCACCTAAGTATCAGAAAGCCTAGCCAGCTGCCTCGATTCACATCTGAATGATGTGAGTTGAATTCTAGAACCTGCTTTCTTTGGATTTCAGTCTTTAACCAAGGGCGGGCAGTGGCCTCGCCTTGGGAACATTTCCAGACACAGGGTGCCTGAGCTCCCTGGTATCAGTGATGTACTGTTGCTGTATTTGTTCCTTAACCAGTCTGTGAAAGTGGATGCGATCACTTAGTTTTTCCTTTTATACCTTCTTGCCGTTCAGGACATCTCCCCATTTCTCATATCCCCTTTAAACTCTTCTCCCTCTGAGGTTCTAGCTGAAATAAGTTATTTTATAAGGTGATTTTGAAGTCGTTCAGAGCCACAGAGAAGCACATACCTGAACATGATATTAAATCCACAAAATGAAAGGATCTCAGTCCTTTGCCTTCAGTTTCCCAGACAGGCGTGCATTGCAGCCATCCCTGCAGCAATCATTACAGCAGTCATTTTGAAGTTTTGCTTACAGTTTCTAGAGACTCATTTTGTGACCTTCAAATTTGAGAACTTGTGTCTGAAAAACATCAGACTTCTCCTCTTTTGATAGAGCAAGAAATACTTGTATGCTTTGTATTGTTGTAATTGCTGTGCAAATTAGTGGAATTGTGTGCAAGAAAAATATGGTTATTTTAGAGATTGTATAGGCAGCGAAAGAATAGATAATAAAACAGAATCATGATCTCTATATCTCCAGAAATGCATAAACCCGATACCACCCAGTACCAGTAACCTGAACACAAAATGTGAACATTTTCCTCAGTTTTTATTTTTTTCTTAAAACATGTGCAGTTCCTTATTTTTTTAATCTATTTAGTTTTTCTGTAATAGTATATGAGCAAGGGAGGTCCCATATTCAGAGGGTATAAACATGTTAGCCACAGTTGCTATACATGTTGGAAATAAAGTTTTGCAAGCACCACTAGCACCACTGTTCTGAATGCATCTACCTGATGAATTTGCCTTGTCTTTGAAGCTCGGATTGTATCTTGGTTTTGTAATTGTGAGGATTCAGTCTTTAAGAAATATCACTATTACAATTTATTTTGAACCCTAAACAGTCAGTACGATTGGCCAAGGCAGAGTGGAAAGCATTGACTGCCTTTCTGCTGCTGAATTGCAAAACAGTCCTTAGTTTAGGCTATTAATGGATATCCCAGTTGGAAAAAGCAGCTTGTTTTTATAGTTCTACAGCTGGAGTGGGGACCTATGTATTTTGTTTTCTTCGTGAATTTTTTTTTTTTTAATTGCCACCTTTTCTTATATTTATCCAGGGTTTTGGAAGTGGCGATCTCACCTGCCCAGCACTAGCGGACGAACCTACTCTGTAGTGAGGGACTGCTTTTTGGCCTTCAGCTGTTACACATGAGATCTGTGCGAAGACAGGGCTTACGTCTAGACTGCCACCTGTTCTCGTTTTGTGCATGGACCATGTAATGGAAGGTTGAGCGTAGCAGTCACACCACATTTAGATGTGTTGTTGGGGGCTTATTGGAGAGGGAGCTACATTCCTAGGAAGTCTAGAAAATGATAACATTCTTAATTAGGGTTACAGCAGGTCTCTCTTGTTAAAATAATCTTACTGTCAACGTTAAAGCTGGTGAGAAGTTGCCCAGAAGCACCTCCTGCTCCAGATGCAGGTTCAGGCTCCAAACAGCTGTTGAAGCTGTCACCACCTCTCACCCAGCCCTTCCCCTGCTCCCGTGTAAGACACTCCTGGCAGAGGTGCCTCCCAGCCTGTTTTGGCCCTTCCCCTGGTTTCTTCTTCACCCCTCCCGTGGCCTCAGGACCTAACGGTGCCAGAAGCTGGCCCCAGCTGTTGATATGCACAGGCAGGCACCTCTGCTCCTGCCCCCAGAGGACTTCAGCGCACATTTCAGTAAATGCTGTAGAACTTCCTTATGGGAATTAGTGGGTTTCCTTGTTAATTTAATTCCCTAGTTAGTCACCAAGTATTTCTTTGGGACCTGTGGGATCAGCCCATGAAATTCTGGGTTACGTTACTACCTACTTTCTCCTTGAAAGGCTCTGACACAAACAGTTGCACAAGTATTTTTTCTTTTTCCGAGGCAACCGTTCTGTTTTCATTTTCATCAGAAATGCCTTAAGCATACTTCCATTTCATCACACAGAATATTAAGAAAATGTGTACTTGAGGGTTGAAGTTTAATAAAATCCACCGTTTTTATTGCTGCATCTTCTAGAGATCCCTGTGAATCATTGATTATGGTGAAGGAGTGCACGGTAGCTCATCTGCATTCACACAAGCCATTTCATCACTGTTCCTGCATCCTCCAGCCCCGCAGGTGTGACTGGGGAGGCCTGGGGAAGGCAAGGCCACTGGACAGGTCCTTCAGTGATGTGCCCTTTGGCCACTTAGAATGCGCTGGAGTGACCATTCGAAGCTAAGGAACCAGCAGTTTCAGTAGTGAAAAGGAGTCTGGCTGTGAACCAGTCTTTATAAGTTTGAAGCTCCCTTTTCTGTTTGGAGCAGATGGCTCCTCCCATGGGGCTTTTGGTTATGCATGACCACTGCCGGATGTCACTGAGAGGTTTCAGAGGGCCTCAGTCACTGCAGCTACTTCAGACTTTCTGAACCAACGCAGTTTGCAACTGTTTAAATGACTAATACTTTAAAGTTACACACACTTTAACCAACAGACGCAAAGCGATGTGTTTACTTCATCCCACTTTCCAGAAAATACACTTTTATAACCAGTTGAACTTGTTACTTAAAAATTCAAGTTATATTTTTTTCCAACACACAATTCAAGCCATTATTTTATGATAGTTTGTTTACATTACCAATCCTACTAATGATTTTTAAAATCATTGCTGGCGGTAAGTTTCCTTTCATAAATGCACCAGCCCAACGAGAGACTTTCAAGGCATGGCTATTATATTCAGCTTTTCCACTATTGAAATGACCATTTCCATTTATTCTGGCTCCAGTATTGTAAGATGATATATAGACTGAAGTTGAGAATTATTTATTTTTGAGGAAAAAATTAAAAGTGCGATTACTTCGCACTCCAGTCCTTAGTAAAGTGTGCCACCGAAACGCACTGATGTTAAGTGCATTTTCCTGGTTTTGCTTGTGCTCAGAGGTAATTTGAAAGGTGACGTTGCCCATCCCTAGCAGTGTGGTTTGTTTGCAGGGTAGGCATGAGTTTCTAGACTGTTCCATACTCAGCCCTGTACACACAAGCCTATTTTATAACTTTGAAGATGGGCTATGTCTAATATAGTGGAAATTCATCCATTCAGTATTAAGTACAGACGAAACACATTTCAAAGCCACATATAAAAGTCTTTTTAATTATCCATTTTTTAAGGTTTTTCGTATGACTGCTTTCCTCCTTTCATGTGAATTGCTGAAAATCCTTTCTAGTTCATTAAATCACTAAAATTCTCTACTGGTGTTATAAATAAATATGCCAGACCCTGAAATGAGACTAGTTGATAAAGGCAGCTTTGTCCTGGTAACTGAGCCTTGCTCTTCATTAATCCACACTTCTGAGTACGTGACTGTCTATATTACATGAAGTTTTAGACTTCTAATGAAGCAAAGCCTTGCTCTGAGTACATGTGGAGACTTGCTTTAAGTCGAGCTTTAGTATTTTCAGTTGCACTAGCTGCAAGATGAATGTGATGTGATAAAACCGCATTTGTGCTTAGACATGTTCAGGAGAGCCTCAGGGCACATTTAACAGCTGTCTGGGTTCTCTACCACTGTACCTTGTGTAAACCTGCATCTCAGACAGCTGGAAACCTCACAGCCCTGGGTCTCAGACCATTTAGCACAGGACCAGTTGCACTCCAAATGGACTTGGAAGTGCTGAGGTTGATCCTTCCTGTTATGTGATGGTTGAAAGCCAGGTGTGACACTCTTAGCTCTTGTTGGGAGGTCTAGAGATGCTGCTCAGAGAACTCATCTCATCAGACCACCTAAGCCGAGATGGGATGTGAGAGAGTGCGGCACCGACACTGAGAGTCTGGAAGCACCGGGAAGTCCTCCCTGTTGAGGTGTCTGGACTGCATTATGAAGGGTGGATAGACTCTGACAGGTGGGTTGCAGGGAAGAAAGGGCAGTGAGGATGGCAGGAAGCAGTGGGTTCATTTGCAGTTGGGGAATAGTCTTGTTCGGAAGGTGGGTGAATGAAGAGGACAAGTCACAGCTCGGAGGCAGGTCATGGAGATGCAGAATGCACTGTAAGCTATGTGGCTTCCTCTCACTGAGAAAGGTGAGGCAGGATTTCTTCTCTTTCTTTCTGGGTAGGTGCTTGGTCTGCAGTCCTGGCATGCCGATGCAGCAGGAGAGACCATCCTTGTTTCACGTGGAGCCTCTTACCAAACCAGCACAGAGTGGATGGTTACGACTTGGCCACCTGCCACTTAAAATATCCCTTTTAATTTCCTTTTGATGCCATATTTTAAATTTTGTAAGAGAGTGTTAACATTAAACAAATACTGATGTCAGCCAGGTCTCCTGTACTGAACTGTCAGTGGATCATGGCATCCCTGCAGCTGGCTAGTAAGACAGGTATACAGAGACCTGACTCGTGTAAGTTTTGATCACCATTCTCAGAGACCGTCAGCTCTTCCATGGTTTGGTTCCAGTAGTCATCACTGCCATGGGTCTTGTATGAGTCCATGCAGTTCTTGACTGTGGTAAATGACTGCTTCTCTGTGTAATAAAAATAAATAAGTAAATAAATAAATGAAGTAGTAACAATTGAATTCTCACTTTTTGAAAATAAATTTTGACTTGAATACTTTGATTCTGCTCATTATACTTAAGGTACACACAATAATGTTGTCGGCGAAAGGTTCTTGTCTTGTCACAGAAAGAATTCAGAAACGAGACATGGAGCTCAAGAAAGCAAAGCAAGGATTTGTTAAGGGATAGATAGTATGCTCTCGGGGAAAGACCGGGCAGACCCAGGTGAGTAGCTGCCCCGAGTTTCCTTGGCAAGCTGGTTATATGGCTGTGATTGGGCAGAATATTCATTGGCGAGGAGGGGTTAAGGGTCATCTTTCTTGATCTTCATTGCAGCCCCACCTTCCCAGGTGGGGAGGAGGGATTTTTTTTGTCCTTATTTAGTCTTGATTGGGAAGTTGGATGAGGTCATAATGAACAAAGGTTACAGTCTGATGGGGGGGTGGTATCATAAGCAAAAGGTTACATTTGGACAGAGGTCATAATGATCAAAAGGTTACATTCAGATAGTGGAGATTCCTGTCTTGTCCCACCCTTTTGCCTCCAGGACACTTATCAACCCAGAAGGTATGATTTTTATCAGTCCAGAGGATCCTGTTTTTCTTGGTCTGTCCGAGAACCCCCGTGGTTCACAAGATGTCTGGTTTTCTACCATTTGGCCCATATCCCCCTTTCTCTGCTCATATTTAGCTACCTGCTTGCTCTAACATAAATACTGTCTGCCTATTGTTATATGATGCAGAGATTGAGGAAACCCAAAATTAAAAAACAAAGTTCTGTGAATAGTCATGACTTTCTAAGTGAGACTTCTTTGAACATTATTTTACGAGCAATTAAATTATTTTATTCTATAACTCTGGGCAGTTCAAGTACTGACCTACTTATATAGTAGCCCTTAATTTAAAAAAAAACTTGCTGGATATATTATTAGAATTGAATTTTCGTTGGGAATACCTTGTTTTCTTAGTTCTGACACATACAATGAAAGTGTATAGAACCGCCTCAACTTTTTGCTGTGATTACGACAGCATGAGAGATCGAAGCAACAAGAGAGAACTTTATCAGTGCCAAGTAATTATTTCTGCAGCAAATGGTGGCCGTCTCTGAATGCGACTTGGTTTTGATATAGTTAAGGCTATGCCAACATTACAGTACAATGTGCCTTTATATTGTGTCCTTCACAACAGTCATGGGGAATTGAAGACTTTAAAGCTGATTAAAAGTAGCATAAAACATATTTTTTTATTTGGACTTAGAACAGATTTTACTTTGAGTTTTTGCCAGAAGCTGGTTTCCATAATAACCCTCTGTCACAGGCTTCTAATTCTACTTGGATTTTTTGTTAGAAGATATTTTTGTGACTCAGTTTAGAAATGTATGTGCCTTTTTCATTTTCATTTGTTGGTCTCCACTCCAGTAAAGGTATGTAGAAACTTGGGCGTGAAAATGCCTTGTGACTTCAGACGTGTCGGTGTTTTCCCACGGCGCAGTTTCTCCCAGCATAGCGGAGCTCTTATTTTTGGATCTTGTGTTTTTTTGCTTGAAATAAATATATTTCACTCTAGTCACATACATTGTAAAAATGAAAGAAGGCGTTCTATTAAATAGTAACTAATTGAAGTCTTTGTGGATATGGGTGTTATGATGGTCAAAACACAGAATTGATAACTGGTCTTTTCTCTGTGTTTTTGCTAAAATAGGAATGGAAGGTTGTTTTTTGTTGTTGTTGTTGTTTGTTTTTTCCTGGCATTTACCAACACTATCCTGTTCATTTTGCAGTGATAAAAATTTTTAATCTAAAATAGTTTGTATCATCCCTTCAGGTGTTTTGGGGGGAGGTAGGAAGCTGAGGGAAAGGAGAGCAGTGCTCGTTTCTAAGCTCCCTTGAGTGACTTACGTTTGGGAATCTTGTTTTACCTCGCAGGGCTTTTTCACTGATTTGTGAATGTTGGGAAAATTGGTTTGTGATACCCTGTTAATAATCAAGACTGATTGCGGAATATCTGATGATTTGAAGGTTGTCTGGATTTTTTTCTTCCTGTTCCATGTGCTCGTTGGAAAAGGGTGACTTCACCACATAGAGGAAGACATTCTTTGGTTAAGTACATAAGCGAAGAGGGCCTTTGGATTAATGTCCCCTGTTGGGTCACAAGAGCCCCCCTTCAGGCCTTCTCAGAAGAGACCTCCTGAGCCCTCATTTTACTTTTCTTTGAATTAATTGTTTTCGGGTACCTGGGAGAAAGCCATATATATAATGGGATCATTATAATATGATCTTATTTCTTCCTCTTAAGACTAACATTTTAGAATAGATTCTATTTGTTTAAAAATTATTAATAATTTCAAAGGAGTCATTTAGCTCCAGGTTTAACCAATATATAACATCATTGTAAGTTAATAAATTTTTGATTGATGGATAAAATATCTTTAGCAAATATTGCCCAGAGAGATCGTAGCCTTCTTTTAATTAGTTACACGTACATGGATAACTGTGTGCCATGGGAAAATATTAGAAACACATTGTATTAATGCTGGAACTCTTACCAGTCCTGGCAATGGAAATTCTCATTTTGGAATTTCCATCTAGACTTTCTACTATATCATCGGTTGTCATAGCAGCAGTCTCAATTGAGAATTGTGATTATATACTTATCAAATGATTTCTTGATGAAAGCTCAGTTTTTCTAATGTAGTTCAGCCAGAATTCTGAGCTGTCACCTTGCCTGGTTAGGGGAATAATTAACCAACCTAAAGAAGAGAGTCCTTTTTTTCTGCTGAATTTTATATATATATATATATATATTTACCTTATTTCACAGGCTGTAAGGTGTCATCAGTTGTAAGTTGTAAGACATGCCTTTATTTTATGTACCTAATCATTATACTCACAAAATGCCATTAATTATAAGATACAACCCAATTTCAGAGATGTTAAAATGTGGAGGGGAGAAAAAAGGAATCCTGCAATCAATAAAATATGCCATGTATGTATACTTACAAGTTTAAGTTAGATATTGGCCATAGTCATAGTATTAAAATATAAGGGAAACTATATTAAATAAATCATTGTTTCTGCCAAACATTATACAGATTATTTAACATTTTTATTTATTTTTTTATTTTTTTTAACATTTTTATTGATTCATAATCATTTTACAGTGTTGTGTCAAATTCCAGTGTTCAGCCCAATTTTTCAGTCATACATGGACATATACACACTCATTGTCACATTTTTTTCTCTGTGATTTATCATAACATTTTGTGTATATTTCCCTGTGCTATACAGTGAATACAGATTATTTAATCCTAGAAATCTAGAATTGGGAAAGGTAAGAGAGATTATGTGGTCAATATGAGGAAACTTAACTTGAGATCATGCAGAGTATATGGAAATTAGTGATTGATTACCTTGTTTACCAAAGTATCTTAAACTTTACAAAGAATTCATAGTAGTATTCTTTTAAATACCTATCTTTAGAGTATCTCCTATGATATATCCTATATGTTCTTTTTCAAGATCACTTCATTTAACATATGATAGAAAATAATTTAGCATTTATATGAGTTTAATACTCCAAACAAGTTACAGACACAGCTATAACCATCAAATGTCATATTAAACGCTATATGAAATTTTAAAAGAATCATTGTTTCTGCCTTCAGAGAATTGTCGATTCTAACTTTGGACATTTCTTCCAAATTTAAAGTACAGTTTAAGGTCAACTGGAACTTTGTGTGGGGAAGAGGAAACGACTTTCACCCGTGAGCCCCGTCCTTCAGCCAGCACTGAGGCATGCCTTGTCCATTGTTCGTATTAGCTATCATCACCCTTGATGCTAGAATTCAAACTGAGTTCTTGAGAGGCCAAATCGAGCTGCTAGTGTAGACATTGCTGGGTGGCTCTCTCAGGAGGTGGGTACAGCAGGGCATCTGCCAGCAGGTGGTCTCCAGGTCCAGTGGACACCCTGGCTGGAGTGCCGGTTCCAGGTGCACATTTCAGGCATTGACCTGATCACAACGCACACATCTTACTGAACCTCACCTGCAAAATCTGAGCAAGATCCACAGCAACCTGGGACCTGCTTGGTGGGGCTGGAGCACGCCTGCAGAGTGATGAAATACCAGTAGCCCTGAAGCCTGGAAGATTACAAGGCAGGGAGCCAGATTAATCTTTGGGTTTTTGTGTTTTGGAAAACCGTATCACAAATGTTTCCTGCTTTCAGTACATTTGTTACTAATAGTGGAAGTTTCCCTTTCCAGAGTGTTTTCAACTTTTTATCAAGGTGCTTTCACAAACATGTAACCTTGCCTTCACAATAAACCTGAAAGCGATGAGCTGGGTAGAAT